CTTCCCAGGCCACACACCCCTCCCCAGCCATATCTCCTCACCCTAGGCCATATTCCTTGCCAGCCCTGCTTCACAAGTGTTTTTTGCCTTGAGTTCTGATAATGCCTCTTGCTTATCTTAACAGAAGACACAAAGGGCTGTGTGTGGAAACTAGCCTACAGAACCAGTTAACATTTACATTTGCCTCTACTCCCCCTCACAGCTCACTGGCATGCAGCTCTCAGAAGGTGGTCCGAAAGGGAACATGACTCTTGGGCTGGAAATGTTCCCCATTCCTGCTGTATAGCAAAAGCAGTACCTTCGGTGCATGAGACAATCTTCCTGAGAGAGAAGTATTTTGTTCTTTCCCCCTTCTCTTTCTTTCTTTTTCTGAAAGGATCAGGTTCAAAGAGGATAAGTGATTTTGCCTGGCGTTGCCAAAGAAATCGCGGAAGGCCTGCAAACACCATATAACTCTTTTGGCGGTTACTTGTCAATCTCAGCACCAAGTTTTCCTACCTCCAGGATGCCTCTCTGCCAAGCATTACGTCTCCTTTCTCTCCTACATTCTTTCCAAGAGCATCCGTCATCCACAAGCCATTGAGATAGCTTTATATGGCTGTTGAAAGAGTCATTGCTTTATCATTTCCTTTCCTCTGGCGAGGGTCGGATGATGGGATCCTGCGCTATCCTATCCCCTTCTTCGGTTCTTTTGGCACACTCATTTTTAATATGAATCATTCCCCTTTTGGCTCAGATTCTCATGCTGATAATATTTTTGTGGAAAGGTTTCTTCAGAAGTCCCTATTACTCATGCATTTTCCAGATTATCCGGCATGTTTCTCGACAAATGTTATTCCAGAGGGCAGCTTGACGACGCTTTGCTGCTCCCCGATCTCTAAAATACAATGTGAGGAGTAGTAGGGAGAAGAGGATCATGGGAAATGGCTTGACCAGGGGCCACCGCTGACTCGAAGTGTTACTTTTCCCAGAGTGTCAGAGTCAACGTTTAAATACTATTTGAAGAGCTGTGTCTGCATATAAAAATATAAGTGGAGGAATGCTGTGAAAGTGTAGCATCTCTGGTGATTATGACGCTGAGGAAAACAAGGCCTCACCGGTACTACGCATTGAAAGCAGTATCAAACCACTTTAAACTGTCATGGCTTTCCCAAAGAATCCTGGGAACTGTAGTTAGTTAGGGATACTGAGTGCACACAGAGCTATGATTCTCAGAGTGGATGAACAGTCAAATCCTCTCAGGGAAGTCTGAGAACTGTAGCTCTGAGAGGAATAGGCATCTCCTAACAACCCTTAGTGCCCTTAAAAACTACATCTGTTGGTCACTTTGTGTTTTTAATGCACTCATTATATTTTTAACACAAATATGTGTTCAAGATACACATATGTGCCAGGATGGAAGGGCTGTTTGCTGAGTATACACAGTGGCTTCCTTCCTTGCCAAAGTATGAAATCAAATTCCCACAGAACTCAATCAACTAACGTGGTATTTAATGATATATTAGATTTCTACCCCACTTTTTTCACCAAGTTGCTTGAGGCTCCTCCCTTCCCAGTTTTTTTTCTCACAACAGCCCTGTGGGGTAAGTTAGGCTGAAAAATTGTGACAGCCTCAAGGCTACCCAGAGAGCTTCATGGCTGAGGTAGCAACCAAATCTGGGTCTCCTGGGTCCCATTCAACACCCTAACCACTGCAACCTGCTGGTTCTTCTTAGGAATCCCTTGCACCTGTAACATAAAACTCTCACATCTCAATTCCTTTGTGAAATCTTGCAGGGTATAAACGTCTCCAGGCAGCAAAGTTACATAACAATGTTCTTTCCAGACCATGGCAGCCTGGTTCAAGTTGACCCAAGCTTCACTTCAACATCCTGTGCCCTGGAGGAGCCATTTAGACTGTGCACACCGTGCAGCTTACTTTAATCTTGTTCCCTCTGTAAAGAATGGGGTGCCTCAGAAACACTCAGTTCTGTCAAAGAAACAGAAGGCTGATATCTTGGCTGGGTCCACTGCTGAAATTATCATAAAGGGAGTTGGTAAAGAATTCTCACATCTGAAGTTTAACTTCTTACTGAAAAACTTTGGACCAAGGCGACCTATTTTCTTGGATATTCTGGGACAGTCTGCTTGCTATCTCCTTTCTTCTGGTGCTCTATAAGGCCACATTCACACAGCAGTTTATTCTGGCTCCCCAACTGTTAATTTGAATTTCCACACAATGTAAGAGCCACTTCTGGAACTCTGTGGAATACAGTAGAGGTTTGGTGCTCATTTCTGTGTTGATTGCTTCCAGAAAAAAAGAAGAAAAAATGCCCCAAAACTCATTAACCTAGAAAACTGTGGGAGTTAAGTGATGAAATTTGAGATGGTATACTGGCATACGGCTTTTTCTTGCCGTTTCCCTGCTGTGAATCATGAGGGAACAGAAGCATGCATGTGGGGAAAGGGTGGGAGAGTAGCCATGTTGTCCAGTGATGTTCATTGTTGTGTCATGAAACTGAGCACAGCATGCCCGTATATCTGTCAAAAAGTCACAGTTATATAATGCAATGGGTATTGCAGTGTGAAAGGAATGCTAGAAAACAAGAGAGAAATGTTAGCATTATAATAAAAAACAACAACACTAATGCAGTGTTCCACATGTCTGAATGCACCCTAAAGCACCATGTATATGAGTGGGTGGCCACATGCCCTATGTTGCAGAGAACGGCGCTTTATTTGAAGGCAACTTCTATTTCATATAATTATAGAATTGTAGAGTTGGAAGGGGCCCTGAGAGTCATCTAGTCCAACCCCCTAAGCATCCATGGCAGGTGACCATCCATCCTCTGCTTAAAAACCTCCAGTGAAGGAGAGACCACCACCTTCCATCAGAGTCCATTCCACAATCAGCTCTTACTGTCAGAAAGTTCTTCCTGATGTTTAGCCAGAATCTCCTTTCTTGTAACTTGACCAAGGCAGAATAGACTGGGACTATTCTGCCTTGGTCAGACCACACCTGGAGTACTGTGTCCAGTTCTGGGTGCCACAATTTAAGAATGGAATTAAGCTGGAATGTGTGCAGAGGAGGGCAACCAGGATGAACAAGGGTTTGGAAACCAAGCCTTATGAGGAGCAGTTGAGGGAGCTGGGTATGTTTAGCCTGAAAAAAGAGGAGACCTAGAGGATAGCCATCTTCAAATATCTAAAGGGCTGTCACATGGAAGATGGAGCAAGCTTGTTTTCTCCTGCTCCGGAGGGTAGGACCCGAACCAATGGATTCAAGTTACAAGAAAGGAGATTCCCTGGCCAGGGAAGATGGGACCTGGTGTTCAGCAATGTCTGGAGGACCGTAGGACTTAGTTTGAATGGTACTAATGCATTCCATGTGCAGGCATGTGGCCCATACATGCTACATTGTTAGCAAGTGAGTTGTGCAAGACTTCTCTGACCCACATTTTCTTGATTGCATCTGCAACTTGCACAGCCGAACACTGAGTTTGTGGCGTGGCGCTGAAGTGTGTCATCAGCTCAGTAACTGGCAATTTCAAGGTCATTAAACCATTAAATGAGCTTTCCCCACAACCTCTGGGAAAGCGGTCTTAATTCTGAGCCGGGTTCTGTTTTGGAACTGAGCTCTAATGAACTTTTGATGATCTGGGATAGAGGCCGACAGCTGCCTCTATTGAATCAATGTCATATAAGGCTGGCTTTGTTAATGAATGTTTTATAGGCAGAGAAACCGACTGAAGTGGAGATATTTCAGCCTCCAACTTTTTAATTTTAATTGCATTTTCAAGAGTTCCAGAGACTGGAGCAACAGACGATATCTTTGTGATGGGTTGGAGAGTGTTTTGTGGTTTGGAAAGAATTTCAGGCATCTTCCTCGGCATTATACACCACCATCGCTATGCGAGAAGTACTGATAATGGGACCCATAGAGCTGCCTTACAGGCATTCGATCTGGGGTGCAGCATATTTTAAACAACAAGAAGAATATCAGTGCTTTATAATGACAAATAGTTTCTATTAATAATAGCTTACACACATAAAGCCCATTGAAGCTGAAAAGATTTTGATCGAGGGCAGAACTGCACGTTACTCAAAAGATGGAGGGTACCTCTGCAAGCAACCCCACCCCCCGGTTGAGGTCCATCTCTGTTAATGGACAGAATCATTTGCACCGGGTTGTTATGCCATAATATTTGTGCGCACCACATACCACCTCTGCTGCAACGTTGACTGGGTTTAGAGGAGCAAAGAAATGTACAATGAATGCCCTTTCATAAGGCACTGAAGCGTACTGGTGAGATGCATGGCACTTTCATTGCTAAACTCTACATTTCCTTGCTCTAGCTAAGGTACTCTTTGGTAGGATGGCCATGTGTCATACTCCGTAGAGGACAGGCCTCTGTTTGAAGGCCTAAATTCAGTTTAAAGATAAAGAACCATCAGAAGGGAGAGCAGAGAAGGGGCATGAAGTTGCCTCATTGACAGGGAGCATCGAGACAACAGACTGAACAGGCACACAGTTCACCTTCTCTCAGTTCTCGCTACTAAGCTGAGGTGTGTTTCTTTTTTAATTATAGCTATTATTTCTAAATCTGCACCTATGCTGACAAATTAGCATATGAAAAAATTAAACAGATCCATATCCTCTTTCATCCTCTTTTTGTGTGTGCAGTGTGCAAGTGACCAGCCTACTGTCTAGGAACGTTCCAGTTGCTTGTCTAATTATCTGATGCACCTTTAAAATGTTCAAAAGAGGGGATGGTCAACCTGACTGAAGGGCTCTGGCTTCATCCATGACTGGCTTTGGACCAGTCCACCATACTGCCTCTGACAGAAGGACAATGAAGCACACTGACCTTAAAAGAATAAAGCTTCTCCACCTCTTTCGTTAAGCTTTAATCTCATTACAACAGGGTGCTGTACTGGACAGAATATTGGAGTTGGATTCAGATTCCTGCACAGCCACAAAGCTCACAAGATCGCAAGCGTTTCCTAAGTTCAAGGCTGTATTCACTTCTCGGCAGTTTGAAGCTTTCCTGACTGGGAAGGGAATCCAGCATAGCCTCTCAAGTCCTGGATCTCCATGGGAGATTTGTGAGCAAGCAAAGCAAATGTTGCTGCAAGGACTGAAAACATTGTTGCATGATGCCAATCTCCTGAGAAGTTTTGGGGGGAGTCTTTGAACTCGTATGTTTACACTTATAATCGCAGATTGTCATCACCTATTGGTTGTACTCCCTATGAGAAGATGTTTGGTAAGAAACCCAACATCAAGCACATGAGAATCTTTGGTTCTGACATGTGGGTACACACCCCACAAAGCAACAAGCTTGGGAAGCGTGGGGCACATGGTTTGTTCATGGGGTACGAAAAGGGTGCATACAGGGTATGGATGACCAACTCTAAGTCCATTAAGTTCACAAAGAGTGTTGAGTACAATCTTAAGTGGGGAAAATGTGGGAATTTTCCAGAGTTACCCAGAGGAGGATGAAGGTGATGTCAAAGAAGCAGCTAAAGCTGAGGAAGCTGCTGAGGATGATGATGACGATGATGATCAGAGTTCGGATTCCAGTTCAGTGGGCGGCGCTGCTGCTGATGTCAGTGAAAGTGATGACACAGCAGACTACAAGAGCGCAAAGGCCTCAGTCAGACCATCTGATGCGTCTGACAATGAACTGGAAGAACCACTGTTCACCATTGGTCACTTTTCTCCTAAGAAAGAGGAGATGAGTCCAGAAGACTTGCGTCTAGTACGCAGATCTGAGAGGGCCACGAAGGGCAGACCTCCAAAGAGATTTGCTGATGAGTTTGCTAAGACAGCAACTGCTGTTCTTAGTAGCTCAGAGAAGGTGTGGGAACCTTCAAGCTTCAAAGAGGTTCAGGAGTTAACCTCTAAAGATGCTGAGCCTTGGCTTAATGCCATGAAGGCTGAAGTTGATTCCTTGAATAGGAACCAAACTTGGGAACTGGTACCGGTTGTCCCAGGAATGAGACTGGTTGGCAGCAAATGGGTCTTCAAGGCCAAGACAGACCAGAATGGCAAGGTTGTCAGACACAAAGCCAGATTGGTTGCCAGAGGTTTTTCACAGGTACCAGGACAGGATTACCACGAGACCTATTCACCCACCATCAAATATGAGAGCATTCGGCTGATGCTCAAGATAGCTGCAGAGGAGAAACTGCATGTTTCCCATCATGACATTAATACAGCTTTTTTGTACGGGGTTCTGGGGGAGGAGCTGTTTATGCTTCCACCTGACGGGATGCAGATACAGAAGGGAATGGTCTGTAAACTGCGGAAATCCTTATATGGTCTCAAGCAGAGTGCCAGGTGTTGGAACACAAAGCTCACTGAGACATTGCTTTCTCTAGGTTTTCACCAGGGCAAAGCTGATCCATGTGTGTTTGTCAAGGAGGAGGGGCAAAACAAACTGTATTGTTTATGTTTTGTTGATGATCTTCTGATGTTTTGGAAGAATCAGGCTTTGTACCAAAGCACCCTAGCTCAGCTGAAGGAGCACTTTGACATGAAGGATCTTGGTGAGGTATCCAACTATCTTTCTCTGCAGGTGGAGAGGGACCAACCAGGTAATTTTCTGGTACACCAAACACAGAAAATTGCTGATGTATTAACCAGGTTGAATTTGGTTGATGCAAACCCAGCAGACACACCGATGGTAACAGGTTACCAGGTAGACAGTACTGCTGAAGCGTTTTCTGACACTACGCTGTACAGATGCATTCTAGGCAAGTTGAATTTCATTGCTAGATGCTCAAGACCTGACATAGCTGTAAGCACTAACCTGCTTAGCAGACATGCTAACAATCCTACTGTTCAGGATTGGAAAGCTCTGAAGCGCATAGCCCGCTATTTGAAAGGGACTTTGCGCTACAGGCTGAGGTTCACCAGTCAGAAGACTGGAGGTCTTGAAATTTTTGCAGATGCAAGTTTTGGAAGTGACACCACGGATGGTACAAGCACTTCTGGAGTATGCTACATGTACAACCACTGTCTATTTGACTGGTTGTGCAAAAAGCAGACAACAGTGAGCCTAAGTTCCTGTGAAGCAGAACTCAATGCTCTGTCATTTTCACTCATGGATTGTGAATGGTTGATGCAACTGTTTAAGGACATCAGAGTTTCTGTGAAATGTCCTGTACAAGTGTATCAAGACAATAGATCCTGTTTGGCTTTGCTGAACTCAGAGAGTTGCAAGCAAAGGACCAAGTACTTGCAGATTAAGCTACATCGTGCAAGGGAGTGTATTCAGAAAGGACTCATTCAGGTGTCCTACATGCCAGGAAATGAAATTCCTGCTGATCTGTTGTCTAAGGTTGTTAACAGAGAACAACTTAAGGTTTATGTACAAAGGTTGCAATTGGGTTGAACCACAGGTACTACAGGTTACACGGAAAGGGGGAGGATGTTAGGATATTTCCGTTCCACCTTAAAGGGAGCAGGCTTTGTGAGTCAGAGTCTGCGTATTTCCTGTTCACAGGATGTTTATGTTTTGCTGTTGCTTTCGTTTTCTCTCTGGTGTCGCAGACACTAAAGCAGTCAGACATGTTTTTCTGTGTTCTGATCAACGCTGAATAAACTTGTAAATAATGCTCTCCTGATTGCAACTTTTGGCTGTGCTATCTGCTGATAAGAGTGTGCATGAGCTCTGGAATGTGGCAAGAAATCTTCGAGAAACTCATGTCGCTAATTGTTGATACTGCGTGACTACGGGAGGTCGATGGATCGTCCGGCAGACGGCTTGGGGGCCTTGATGGACTTTATCTCCCTGGCAGTATCCCAACAGATTTCTCCCTCTCTCTGCCTAACTTACCTCAAAGGGTTGCTGAGGGGATAAAATGAGGAAAACCCTATCTATTCCATCATGAGCTTCTTGGACATGAATGAGGGATGGTGAGGGAGTATGAATAAATTACCCAATTAGAGCTTACATCTCAGCAGTGCCAAGTGTTTTGCTTGCAATGGGCCTTGCTTCTGCATGCCCTGGGGATGGGTCAAAACTCAGTGGTAGAGCACATGTTTTGCATGCAAAAAATCCGAGGTCTTTTGCACCCCGGGTAGGTCTAGGAAATGCTTCCACAGGAAACTAGGAACAGCCACTGCTTGTCTGTAAAGGCTGAGCTAGAAGGGCCAATGGTCTGACTCAAAATGAGGTCGCATCCACACCCTACACTTAAAACACATGGTTTCCCCCAAAGAATCCTGGGAATGGGATATAACTCTGTAAGTTTATCCCCCTGCAGCGCTACAATTCCCAGCACCCTTAACAAACTACAGCTCACAGTATTCTTTAATTGTGCGGACCTAAGAACTTCCTATGTCCCACATCAGCACATAATTTTGAGATGTTAGCAGTAATGATAGCTGCTGAATCCCATTTCTCAATTAAAACCAATCGCTGTCACTCAACTTGTTACCAGTATGAGAAAAGTTGGCGCTCAGCCTGAAGAGTTGTGATGTTAGTGCAGGAGATAAAGATCATCTAGCTCATGGTTGCGCCTTTCTCTGTGGCAGAATACGCAAGTATGTTGATGTATGATCAAAGAGGAAGCAAATTAGGGACATGCATGCACAGGCCCAGATCCACAACTGATGAGGTACTTGGAAATATTGAGGTGTATGACGTGCCTAAGAAAAACACTCCCTTCAGATAATGCGTCCATGTGTTTCTCAGACCAGCTCTTTTATGACCTTGAGGAGAAGCTAATAAAAAAGGAAAGGTATAAAAGAGGCACCAGAGAGTCTAAACTTAATAGACAGAATGAGAATTCCTAAGGTGAGTGTTTCCATCTACTGTGCCCGTAAAACTCTCTTCTTCAGTCCCAGCTGTCAGTGGCATGAAAAGAAGGGTTGTCTTTGTAGGGTTTAGAGGAGGAAGAGGGTCAGCAATGGAATCTAAGTCGGGTCTGGAAGCTCAGCAGAGACTTCTTCACTCTGAGGTTGCTATGGAGAATGGGAAATTTATATTGTGCAAGTGCTAAGGCAGCTGCTTGACAGATACTGCAGTTCTATATGTGGCCCAATGGACAGACTTGGAGGTTAGAGGCCTTGGTTTGAGGCTCACCTCTGCAGTGGTCTCACTGTGGTGCTAGATAATCTGTGGACCTCCATTTATTGCTGACCCATAACTCCTACCTTCAGCTATGGGCATGGACCTTGGCAGGTGGCCAACCACACCAACCATTGACACAGTGACATGCAAATAGATTAACATTTGTGCAATGAAGAACTTAAGAGGAGCCTGAGGGATCAGGCCAATGGCCCATCTGGTCCAGCATCATGTTCTCACAGTGGCCAACCAGGTGTCTGTGGGAAGTCCACAAATGGAGCATGATTCAGGATTTGGCCTCCTTTGGTTTTTATATTTCCATTAAAAGAAGAAACAAGTTTCTAATACGATTGCACAGTGTCTGCTGATGTCTCAAAGCAGGACCTTCAGTGGCCAGGGGAGCAGATGTCAGGCTCCTAGGCCTCCCCTTTCCATCCTCATACTTCAGCTCTCTTCCTTTCAATTTGCCACTCCCCAAATGTGACAGATTGCAATTCCAGATTCTATATTTCCCTCTGGCCTCAAACACTGCTATCGGAACTAACACTGCAGGTTAATACAGAGGTAAACTCAACCCTGATTACAATTGGCTTTCAGCCTGGAGGAGGAAAAAAGGCATTGGGACAATAAAGAAGCAAATTCCCACATTTTAAAAAATGTACCCTCTTACACTGGGAATATGTGGAATTGTACGTGTGTGTGTGTGTGTGTGTGTGTGTGTACACACAGAGAAGGAGAGGTCTCACTTTCCGAATTCAATGCATTCCCAGGAATCATTTGTTAGGTGCGCGTTCACATAATTAGCTTATGATTTCCATTAGTTCCTATGAGAACATTTCTAATCCATGATTTGTCTGTTCTCCCTCCCCCATCCCTTCCCCATGGTTTCTGCCCCAAACTGCTGCAGCTAATCAGCAAAAGCAAAACAAAGAAAAAACAGATTTGCCTGATATCTCCTGATCCCCGATTTGTCCAATCTTTCTCCCTTCCTCCATGCTTTCCATCCAAAATGGCGGCTGCTGACCATCAAAATACAAACAGGTAAGGAAGTGGGCAAACTCTGGCTGTTCAGATAGTTGAATCAGCCATTTGTGTAGCAGTATTTGGGTATAATAATTTTTGTTCAGATAACTGGGATTTTGGATACCGGGTGTTTCAATAGTGGGAACTTTGTGTACATATATTTGGCCTTTAAAACATTATATTTAATATTTAATTATTTTCTACTGTGGGTCCAGTCCCCCCATCTCTATTACAGGTCATGATAGGCTGAAATATGAGAAATGCTCATTGCCTGTGTAAAGTATTACATTAGCTTATTGAAGAAGGAGTGGGAAGGAACAGCCATGAAAACTGATTGTAAAAAAAAAAAAAAAAGGATTTACTGTATTTTTTCCATGTATAACTTTTTTCTGAAAATTTTTAGTGATAAATTGGGGGTTGTCTTATACATGGGTTAATATGGCAAGTAAGTGAGGAGCGGAGCCACAGACGCTTGCCCACATTTAGGAAGAGTACGTGCTGAGTGCCAGTACGTGGTGAATTATGGCACCAGTTCCATCAGCCAGAGTGGGGGATCATCAAAAAACAGCTCAACAGCTCAGTGAACTTACAAAAGAAGCTCAACAACTGTTTTTGCAATTTCTTTAAAAAAAGCTCAGCGACATCCTTAATTTTTAGATTTCTTAATTTTGGTCCCCCCCAAAATAAAAGTCATGTTATACACAGAAAAATGTGGTAATTGAAATGAATTGGACTCTCAAGGGCAGAAATGTATACTGAACAGCTTACTTACTTTGCTTATTTCTTTTAACTGTGAGCAAAGTTATTTAAAGACAGAAAAAGATAGAGTATACAACAATGAAAATTACTAGAAAC